CAGGTCCCCTTGCTTCGACCCACACACACACACACACTGCATACACGCTTGGCCCCCCGATTCCTCCAGCCGCCCTTCCTGCCTCTTCCTGCAACCTGATCTCAGGTGCAGAAATCCGATTGCAATCCAGCTAGCGGGGGCGGGGTAGGGAGCCGGGTGTCCCCCCCCCCAATCTCTCGGCCACCCGCCTGATTTCCTCCAAGCCTCCTACAGATCGCCAGGAGAATCCCAAGTGTCTCCGCACCCCACCCTTCTATGCAGACGGGCAGGTCTCCCAGGCAAAGTTGCCGAGTCGAGGGTGGCTCTCTAGATCTGGAGGCTTCACTGTCCTTTTGCTTTGGAGGGCAGCTCTGGGCATGGATTCGGTGTGGTTTCGCAGGAGAGCGGCTGGTTGCTTAGAGAGAGAAGGCTGGGCGGTCGAGCACCTGCTTGGCATGCACGGGGTCCTCTGGCCACCTCTTCCAGTTTAAAAAAAGGACCCCTGGCAAAGATGCGGGGAAGGGTCACACAGCCTGGGGAGAGCTGCCGCCCGTCAGAGCAGTCTGCACTCAGTGATGTGGACCAGGGGTCTGACAAACCGATTTGCACATTGTGGTGTGCCCAGAGTCCCTATCCTGGGTCCTAGGTCACATATGAGTTGTAGGTTATCCTCAGTTCTCATATCTGAGGTGCCTGATCCAGATTGTGACTGTGGCACCGGTGGGGAAGGGGGTTCAGCCTCCCCCCGCCATTTTCCTGAGTGGAAATAGTGCTGAGGGTTTCAGTGTTCGGCCTGTAGGTGAAACCCAGAAGTGAACACAGGAGTTTTCCTAAGGGGCCACAGAGCACACCGCTGGGAGCATTGCAGGTCAGGGGAATTGCACAGAGGGGTAGACTGAGGCTCCTGTGCCATGGTCGTGGTCCAGACTGGACACCCTATACTCAGGAACTGAGCATCTGCAACTTGCATGTGACTCTTACATAGGATACAGGCTGGGTACCCCAGACTCAACCTGCATGCTCTGTAATGTGTGAATTGGAAAATGCAACTGCATTGAAGGGCTTTAAGGCTCGGGGTCTTTTAGGCTGAGTGCAAAGAGCTTTGGGGAATCAACAGCCTGGATGTGCTGTTGCCCCTTTCTGCATTCTTTAGTGCTATAATTTTGTCGGTGGTGAAAATAGACAAGAACGGGGTTTCGGAATTTCTCCTCTATTGATTGCTGAGCTGGGGTACTGGGCCAGCTCAGTATTATGAATGATACTCGGCACCTGTATTGCGTTTTGAAGTGCTCAGAGCACTTTGTGTATAGCCTTCCAACAACCCTGTCAGGTAGGCCAGTATTGTTATTGCCCATATTGTGGGTGGGGGGTGGTTGAAGTGGCTCGGTTGTGGTCAAATCCAGGCTTGAGTGAGGCTCCTCCCCCTGGAACACAGCTACTATGCTACCCTTATGGGAGTTATGACCAAACACATCACACGTTTTCACTGCTGGTTTAGGTGAGAGTCTGCCTGGGGATGCACATCCTGCTATGCTGGAGTAAACCACAGAGAAGTTGGCTGCATTCTCATTTGCAGTTCTAAGTCCATATGGGGACACCTTGTGAGAGCAATGGCCGGAGGGATCCGCATGTCACCTGCCAAGGCACTGCTCCTTTCCGGAGATCGTTTCCCTTCAGCACAACCTTGCAACAGGGCCACAAAAGTTTCTAGCCCTGGCCATTTCTACCAGCTGTGTTAACACTTGCTGGCATTCTGGGTACTTGTGAAAGAATGCAGAGGGATGTTTTAAGAGATGGGAAAGGGATGCATATCTCAAAGGCCTTGCACAGCTTGTTAGCCCTGCCCAGCTTGGTGGCCAGATTTTTGCTGTGTGCCTGGCACTGTGAAAGCAGGGGTGTTGTCGTGATTCATAGCTAGCAGGTTACATTGGGTGGTTTACAAGATCGGCAAGCCCAGTTTAGACAGACTTAAGAGGAGACAGCAGTAATTATCCCAGTAATAACTGCTGGCTCGTTCACAGTCATGTTTACATCCGTACAACAACCCTGCAAAGAGAGCAGGTTGCAGAGAGCAGGTTGCCTGAGGGGATATGTAGCAGTGGTGGGGCTTAAACCAGGGATTCCCCCGTTCTCTTAGCTCCTGCCTTACACTACAGCTCATATTTGAATGAATGCTACAGAATAAGCATTCTAGGAAAGGAACTGTTGCCTCCAAAAAAGCAGGCGTCTTGTGATACTTTTCAGACTGACAGTTTGTTAGTCTGAGATGCCGTAAGACTCCTGTTTACAAAAAGTAGGAAGAGGATACCTTTTTTCCTCTTCAGTGTCAGGGCTCAGCTCTGATACCTGTGAAGTAATAGATGTGTCCCTTGAGCATGCGCTGGTGCCTTTTTCTCATCACATTATCACTGCAGCCTCTCCCTCCCATCACAAATTGGAAGGATGGGGGTCCCCAGTTGATAGGTGTAGGTTACAGGTAGGTGCGAGCCCCAGTACTTCTCACTGGCGGGGGGGAGTGTGGATACAAGCATGGGAGTCGGTGTAATATGGGTGTCGGAGCAGAATCTAAAGACCAAGGTCTGAATCCCCAGTCTGCCACGGAAACTCGCTGCATGACTCTGAGCCAGTCGTTCTCTCTCTCTGTCTCTCTCCAGCCTATCTCACAGGGTTGTTGTGATAATAAAAATGGAGAAGAAAGGGAAAATGGTGCTGCAAGCCATTTTGGATCCCCGTTGGGGAGGAGAGTGGGGTATAAATCTCCAAACTGAATAAATGCAAGTGGAAACCTGTCTCAGCTCCATAGCTGCTCTCGGGGTGGTCAGAGAGAAAGTGGGGAGAGTTAGGCAATAGAACAAGTTGCAAGATGTCTTCTGCTTACCTTTCTTAAGAGCCACGGGATGGACTGGCTTTCCATGTAAGGTCAAAACTCCCTCTTTCTGTTTTTATCTGTCACTTGCTGGATCAAGGCATGGAGGATCTGGCCTAGCTGCTTGCTGTGGTTTACCCTGGCTGAAGGGGGGAGTGTGCAGTGGCAGCGCTGGTTTGTGCATGCAGGAGAGCAAGGTGGTAGAATAGACTGCAGGCGGTGGAGTCCAGCCTGGACTGTTCTTCTGCATTAACAGCAAAACACTCCAACAGCAGGGAGAAATGCTCCCTTTCCAGGCTGCCTTTTGCTTGCTGTGCTGTGCTGGTTTTCTGTTTACTGGGAGTTTTTCAGAGAGGAGGGAGCCCCTCCCCTCCCCACACTTAGGCATGTTGCAGCTGATTCTACCACATTCTTCTGTATATCTGAACAAGGCTTGTGAAACCACCTTTCAGGCTGCCCTAAATCCAGTGGGGGAGAAAAGGCAGCATGGTATAGCCCCATCCTGGCAGATCTCAGAAACTAAGCAGGGGTTGTAGTTTGATGGGAGACCACCAAGGAAGACGCTGAGGAGCAGTCGCAATGTTCCTTCTAAGCTGTGGAGTCTTGTGAGCAAAAATTACTGCCATTAAAGTTGTGAGCGAGCGATTTGGCTGCTGCATAAATTAGTTTGCTCTGGAGCCATCCTTCCTGAGCTAAGACAAAAAACGTGTCAGGTTAAAAAACTGTGAGCTAACTCACACTGACTCAGCTTAGAGGGAACACTGAGTGGTAGACCTACATTTTTGGGACCCTGAAGCTTGGACTATTATGCCAGCCAGCAACAATAGGCCAACATCCAACAAGGCCATATGACACGGGTATTAGAGCATATTCTAAGGTCAATATTAAGTACTTCAAGCCATTGGCTTAAGACGCTGTCACTAAAATAGCCTTATTTTAATAACAAACACTTTTTTAAAGCTCCATCAATTTTGTCGAAATATTTACTTATTTAAAAAAAGTTGCTTCAATCAATTTTGTCGAAATATTTACTTATTTTTTTAAAAGTTGCTTCAGCTTAAGCTTCAGTAGTTTCATAGTAGATCCGCCCTTGCTGAGGAGGCAGACAGTACTCTTCATCGCTAGCCTTGAAAGGCCCTTGCTGGGGTCACCATCAGTCTATACGCACAGGGATCCAGTGGATCAGGGTCAGCCACGATCCAGATCCCCATTCTTTGAAACGTGCAGGCAGGCAAGATCCAGGCCTTGCTCCCACGGCCACTCAACATGTCACACCTCTCGTGTTTTTCTTCTCTTTATTTCTTGCTGAATAAATATTGTGCATTTATGAGAAGATCTTGAGAGAGTTTCTCATACAGGCTGAGTTTAATTTTCCAGGAAACAAGCTGAGGGGTAAAGAGACATTGGGGGGGCGGGGACAAAGCCTTTTTGCAACTATTACCAGCAAGAGAAATAGTCAAGGGTCAGGACTTTCCAAAGTGTGGGTTGGGGCCCTTTTGGTAAGGGTAGAGCTGGCTTTCCTTTGGTGAGAGTCTGATTTCTTTGTCCAGGTGTGCACATCCCACTGTGCTGAGGCAAATTCTATTCATCCACGTGATTTCAAATAGACCTTTGCGACCACGAGGACTAGTAACTTGCTTCATTAAAAAAAAAGAAAACTAAGATTCAGGAACTTGTGTTTGTGATCCATTAATAAGCTTTTTTCTTTCTTGTGCAACTGTGTAGCCTGGGAGATGATAAGTATCAGGCTTTGTTACATGCTCTTAACTGTTGCGG